TATATATATATATAATGTTTAAATGAATTTTAGAACTTAAATTAGGCTAATACTTATTTTACATCATCTTAAAAAAATAATAATAATAAAAGTAGTTTCTTGCTTTACAACAAGATCAAATAGAGAGCAACTGCAGACTTTTCAATAGAAACTCAAAATATTCTCATCCAACATCAAAATATTACAGGAATTTTCAATGGACTTCGTAATGCATGTGACATTCTCTGGTCACTCACCTGCACATTTGGTTTTGCTGATGAGAGGTGGTCCTGGTGGTCCCGTCCCACCCTCGCCCGGCCGGGTGAGCAGCACACTGATATGGTACTCTGTATCTGGATCCAAGTGCCAGAGTTTATAGGTAACCATGTTAACTCCAAGGATCTCAGACCAAGGTGCCTGGCTGGCCCGATATTCGATTTCCCGACGGATGATGGGGCCATCGCCCAGAATGGAGTTTGTGTTTAGTTGAATGATCAAATACGTGGAGCCCGCTCTCAACAGCTGGGGTGGAGCAATGGGAGATGGAGGAACTGTGACGGAGACAGAAATGAGATGGTAAAAATCTATTCGAAAACATGTTAATACTTTAGCCCTTTTCAAGCAGCCCCCAGGAGAAATATATGAAAACCTTTAATGTACTCTAACCTGAATCTGTCCGATCTCTTTTACGCAGTTTTTTAAGCTTATCTTGAACAGACACTACTGACACGAGGTGAAAGAACATTTGCAGTTCAAACTGTACAACTTAAAAACACAAGTTCCAAGGGTTAAAATACCAATCTGTCCATGCACATTAAATCTCCAATAGCTGGTTCTTTCAAGTCCTCGAGGGAGAGCTTTAAGTAAACCAACAGATGTGCAAGCCTGTAGACTGTGGAAGAACCTCAGATACAAGGTTATGCTATTTAGCATGAGCTTTTCATATCTGGCCCCCTGAGGATCTCGGCGGGCAGCTACACAGCAGCCACAATCTCACATTTGATTTGCAAAGTATAAAGTTTTTTAGATATATATTTAAACCCTGACTAATGACTAGAACTTCAAAGGGTCTTGAGTTATCAAACAATTAGTGAAAGAAATCGATTTGGAAGGATGGAAGCGAGGGTCCAACGAATGAAAAGATATCAGCGCTGACTTTTCCCATGACTAATCTTTGGGTCTGCTGTGTCTGCAAGCTTTCTCTCTCAGGGCCAGCTGCAGATGGCAAATATCCAGCTAGGGACAGAGAAAGCCTCTCCTGGGAGGGATATGAGATGGCAGGGAATAATAAAGCTCATCTTGTCTGTCAGAGAAAGGCTCAGAGAATAATATAAAGTCAACTTAGACTCCGCTTTCATATGCGAAGAAACATAAAAATGGGCCATCTCTGCGATTCTCCCTCTATCCAGCGTTGGTTAGGGCAGATGATTAATTTCACCCTGAGGAAACTTCTTTCGCCAGAGTAGAGTTCAGTGTTACTGTGAAAAACAGATCTGAACCTTACTGACTGACAGAACAATTCTCATTAGCCCTCTGGCTCCTCTGCATTAGCCCTGTTGCTGTGTAATCTATGGGCCCATTGAGGAACAGTGAGTTGTGAAATTAGTTGATCAAGCTAATTAAAGGACTGATTAGCCTCTCGTTAGTGGGGGCAAGCGTGGGAGGGCAGTTTGGAAAAGAAAAGGAGAAGATCAGAGCGAAGGGAAGGGAAAACTAAGATGAACGTAATGAGATCGCGTCAATGCTGCCGTGCTTGCATGTGGGCCTATAGCTTTATGGACTCGTCTGGTGGGGCCAATCTGCCGTGCTTAACTGAGGTGCAGTAATGCATTTTAAATAGGACCTCCTGTCGAAGTAAAAGCCATCAGGAAGCAATGCCAATAACATGCTGCACAGGGAATGCAGCTATAGTCTGAAATGGCTTTAAAGCTCTCTAACATAGAGACACAGATGCAAGCGGGTCTCATTATAAGTTGTGCTTCATATTGCAATGTTCCCAAGTGGATTATGCCTACGGCTTTGGTAAAAATATAATGATGAAGTTGTAATGAGTCAGTGTGACAAGTGCTACAAGAGCAAGTGCTTTGTATCGAGCACTTTCCTGAACATTTGATTCATCAGTCCCCTAGAAACACTGCATGTCAAATGAGTTTTGAATTTGATGACAAGATCTAGAGAACATTAGCAATTTTACCCAAGAATATAGTTACATTTAAGGCATTTAGCAGGCACTCTTATCCAATCGCTTCAGCAAGAAAAACATGCAAATTAGGAGGTTATCTGCCGGGAAAAGAAGTGCTACCTATACAACAAGGGCGTTTTCTCTAAGCAGAGAAACAAAACTAAACTAAACTAAAAACTAAAAACTAAACTAAACTAAAATAAACTAAACTCAAAACAAAAAACACAAAACATGAAAAAACAAAAAAACTGAACAAAACTAAACTAAACTAAAAACTAAATTGAACTAAACTAAACTAAATGAAAAACTAAACTAAACTAAAATCAAAACAAAAAACACAAAACATGAAAAAACAAAAAACAGAATAAAAAAAACAATTTAAAGAAAACTAATAGAATAAAATGTAAAACAAAAAACAAACAAATTAAACTAAACAATTTAAAGAAAACAATTCAAAAGGGATAAAGCCCATCTTCCATGTTCGCAGCTGGTTAAAAAAAACTACTATTTTATTCTGTGATTTAGGTGTGAAGAAAGCAAAGTGCTTAGCCTTGCTGTAGGGGCTTTAGGGTTAAATAATAAACAGTGTGAGGGAGTACAAATAATTGAATAGCTAGAAGTTTCTCTTTTAGGTTCTCTGAGGGTATTACCTGTGATTTTTCATTTCTGGTTTGTTATGACTGCATTTAAAGAAAACAGCCTGAAGGTTTATAATGCTGTGCTTCTGGGTCACATTGTGGAATACAGTAAAGCCGTATTCTAAACTCTCCGTAATCCGTGCTGCTACATCTATCAATAGGATTAGCATGGTGCTGTCTCATAACCGCTCTCAGTATGCCTTGAGGACGGATGTTGAATAACCCACGTGGCTCCATCCATCCCTATTCTTATTCCACCCCTGACTTCTCCTTTTGCTTAGGGGATATCAATCTGACCCGAGTATATAGGTGGACACAGAAAGCTGCTACTCCAGGCTGATGGGCAGGTGTCAAGTTTTATGGTTGATTCAGAATTTAAAGGGACAATTTTGTCATTATTTAATCATCATGTTGTTCCAACCCTGTATGCCGTTTTGTTTTGTTTTTTATTTCATGAAACACAAAACAATACATTTTTAAAGAATCTTTATACTGGACTTTTTTAGACAGACTGTCAAGCTCAAAAAATTCATATTTTTTGTACTGAACAACTTAATTAGGGGGAAGTGAATAAAGTCAGAATTATAATTTTTGGGTGTACTACCCCTTTAAACTGCCCAAAAAAAGTCTGCTACTACAACAGTCCACACATATTTTACATCCTTCTTACTAAACTGACAATTTCAGGACAAAAGAGCATAAGATGTGAGAATGCAAGGCTGTAATGAAAAAAGGATACAATGACATGGATTTAGCCAGAATCCCATTATCTTCTGATGTGCACATTATGGGCAGTAAAACGAAGACTGAAAGGACAAAAGAAGGAAAGAAAACAAGCTCTTCACCTTTGACAATGAGTTCCGCAAAGTTGGAGACGCCGGAGCCTCTGGAGGACTGCGTGACGCAGCGGTAGAGGTCCTGCTCTGGCTTCTGGACGTCCTCCAGTTGAAAGGACACTGAGAAGCGGTTGCGGCCCAAGTACTTGACAAAACCACCTGAAGACACTTCACCATTGTGCCGCTAGAAAAGAAGAAAAACAAGAAAATGCTACAGCCTAGTCACCAAGCATACCAACCAAACATGCTGCCAAGTACTTATATAAACACTGAATGAGCAATGCACTTTTCTGGATGCTGGTCGTAGCAACAACAGAACTTCTGGAGGGATAGAGCCATTTATCATTAAACTCAGGACACAAATGCTCAGGCAAAACAACACTAAATTGCATTTGCCCAATTATATTACTTCTTGATGATGAAGTTATCAATTATGTGATTTATGTACACATATATATCATAATTGACAAGCTGTCAAACTGCAAAAAGCACAAAAAAAGATATAAAACCAACATAAAAGTAGTTCATATGACTGGTTATTATAATAATATTAAGTTACGCAAGTAACCCAATGTCTTCTTATAGGTGCGTGTGAGAAACAGACCTATATTTAAGTAGTTGTTTTCTGACAATCAATAGTGAAAACGTCAAAAGTTTGTGTATGCCCCATAACTGATAACCATACGCAAAATATAAATAAGCATATATTTAAAATTGCATGAATGAGATATGAGAAGCGGCAAAGAAGATACATGATGACACAGAACATATTTAAGGGAACATCTTTTTTTATAATAATTTTTGGAGCTTGACAGCAGTGTTGTTATAAAATTATTAAAAAAAATTTTTTTGTTTACTAAACTAAACAAAAAATAAAATAAGGTCAAATACCAGAATTACTAAAACTGAAATACAAATAAGTTAAAGCAGAAAACAAAAACTGAATATATAATACAAATATAATGTAATTTAAAATATGAATAAATACTATAATTGTATATAAATAACACTAAAATAACTGTTCACTATTCACTTTCATTGTATGGAAAAGAGCAGCACAAACATCTCATGGGTTTGCTATAAATGATCGCATTATTTGCATTTAAAATCTGACTAAATAAACATTTAATTTACTACTGTAAGTGCAATGACGCTATTTCATTCAGATAAATGACAGTGAATAGCTTCAGTTTATTTTGAAAGATGAGCCATATATGTTGGACACCAAAGTATGATTCATCTGAATAAGGGCCAAAAATGAATAAGTCTTGAAAGACTCGCTCGTCACATCAGGAATTGCTACGTGGAGCTTTGTGAGGTACCAGACACGTCTCTCACACAAAACCACACTTGATAACAGCAAGCTTTCACTGCGGCTCAGGTAATTTAAGCGAGACAGTGGTGTGAATAGCACCCATCCAAGATGTCAACGCATTCCCCTCTTTCCCCTCTCCGAATACCAAGGACACAAAATGAGCGCCGAGAGTGCACTCATACTAACGGAAAGCACTTCGAGAAGGAGGTCTGTGGCTGCTACACAACTATGTGTGTTCGTTTATTATGGGGCTGCTTAAGTGTTTAGGCTTCCAATGTGGTTCAAGACCACACAAACCAGACCTGAATGCAGGGGTAAAAGTGTGGGCAATGGTTGCAAATTTGAGGTTCGCATAAAACAAGCCAAACGTACAATCATCTGGCTTTGAGAGCCACTCGGTCTTTGTTCAACCTAGCAATCACATTCAGTGAACTGCCAGAAAGGCAAACATGTAGGATAAACATAGGGGAGCTGTGGACAATCTGTTTTGGACTAAGCGTGCCATGCATTACTGATGCATTTGACCCATGCGTTTGTCTGGTATTAGCTGACACACTTGATTAAAAAAAATGACAATAATGTAATTAGGAAAAAAGTCAAATGCACTAAAATTTATTTAATCAAGTTACTGTAATATTGTTTTTTTTTATATAATACACACGGTTTTACTATTTATGCACTACCATTCAAAAGTTTGGGGTTGGTAAGATTTATAAGTTTGAATGTTTTTGAAAAACGTCTCTAATGCTCACCAAGACTGCATTTATTAAATCAAAAATACATTTAAAAATACAAAACTACATTACTACAATTTAACTATTCATTTTGAACATATTTTAAAATATAATTATGCTGATTTTGTGTTTAAGATATATTTCTTATAAATGTTGAAAACAGTTGTGCTGTTTGATATTATTGTGGAAACTTTCCCTTTTTCGGTTTCTTTGATGAATATAAAATTAGAACAGCATATATTAGACAAAGATTGATCAATTTTTATCATTACTGAATACAATTTTTATTTTTTTTATTTCTAAAAAAAAAAAAAAAGTATTTACCTAAAACCTGTGAAAAGCAGTGTTTATATATATATATATACAGTGGGGCAAAAAAGTATTTAGTCAGCCACCAATTGTGCAAGTTCTCCCACTTAAAAAGATGAGAGAGGCCTGTAATTTTCATCATAGGTATACCTCAACTATGAGAGACAAAATGAGAAAAAAAAATCCAGAAAATCACATTGTAGGATTTTTAAAGAATTAATTGGTAAATTCCTCGGGAAAATAAGTATTTGGTCACCTACAAACAAGCAAGATTTCTGGCCCTAATTAAGACACTGGAAAATATTCAGGTCACCAAATGTCATCATGTAATGGACCACGGATGCCATATATAAAAATAAATAAATATTTACAGAGCACAATACCCATGATTAAAGACAGAAGAAGTAAGAAAACGTCTACATAAATCGGAAGTGAAGCTGTAGAGTCATATATCTCCTGCTGTGTTTAGTGGAGGAATGAGCACTTCAGAGGGTTTGAGGACATTGATTATTGCAGAATCTTGTGTTGCTGTGACAGCTTGCAACCACAGGCATCTGTCCTTGACCTTGATGTGACATAATCACTCATTTGATTTAATTCCACCTTTGATGCCAGAAACTTCAGCTCTCCGAAGACAGTGGGAAATGTTCCTTGCAAGCACAATGTTACAGCCTAAAAATGCTCCCAGAACAATACTATTATATAACGAATGGTGAAGCGGTTTAGCTCTATATGGCTTTGCTTTGAAGGTTGACAGTTAACTCATTTTCCAAAAAGTTTTTGGTGAAACTTTGGACAAAAACTAAATGACAAGGAGAAGGAATTCTGCTTTTATAAACATGGCCATTCTGATCTCATCTGAGGGACAAAAGTAGTTTTAAGACCAAATCAATCTGGAAAAAAAGTGTTCCTAAAATGTATTTTTTAAACATTAACATTCAGGTGCTTTGAGCCAGTTTGGTGCTATAATTTTGTTTGACTAGCAGCAAGTCACAGCTTTAGCCTTTCGCTGATTATTTACTGAATTTGACAAAACCTGATTATTCTCACAAAAAATCTACTGTATACTCACCTCCAACAGAAACTTCTCTGCTTCATTGGGACGTCCAGCTGCTACACACTGGAAAGTGGCGTTTTGTCCTGCGTTGACCTCCACATCCCCCAAACGGGAAAAATGAGGGGCTTTATCTGAACACAAAAACATAAGGAGTTCAGAATAATAAATATATATATACAGTGGGTACGGAAAGTATTCAGACCCCCTTAAATTTTTCACTCTTTGTTATATTGCAGCCATTTGCTAAAATCATTTAAGTTAATTTTTTTTCCTCATTAATGTACACACAGCACCCCATATTGACAGAAAAACACAGAATTGTTGAGAAGAGGAAGCAAAGAACCATTTATTACCATACAAAACCATTCAGAAGTTTGGGATCAGAAAGATCATTCAAAGAAATTAATACTTTTATTCAGCAATTAATTAAAAGTGACAGTAAAGACATTTATAATATTGTTGTAATGACTGCTGAAAATATACCTTTGCTATTATAGGAATAAACGATGTTTTAAAATGTATGTAAAGCAGTAATAATATTTCATAATATTAAAGTTTTTATGTCTGTATTTTTTATCAAATAAATGCAACCTTGATGCTAATGATATAAAACATTTAAGAATGTAAGCTTTTTCTGACAGATTTTCTGTTTCAGTACACATCAAACAGAGAGAATAACAGATATATCTACAACAAGAGACTCACATTCACAGAAAAAAAGAAAAATTAACAACAACAACAGACCCCAAACTTTTAAACATAGTCCACAATGATACAAACCCCACTTTTACACTGTTTAACCTGCTTAAAAGTCAACACTGGCCTTTCTTAATACATGTTTCTTATATGAACATGGAAAAGATTTTCCTTCAACTCCACGTCTGAACCAACTGGTTTCATTCTGGCACTTTTTATCATCCAATCAAGTCCCGCCCTACATTTTTCTATTTGAATACTCAAACATATCATATTTCTATAGTAAAACGCATTGCGAATGTCGTTTCACACGGACTTCAAACGCAGGGAGGCGATCTCTAAGTGACCAGAAATGTTGATTTGTTCCAGTCTGATTGGCTCATTGTGAAATTGTTCCACATATGGGATGTTTTATTGCCTGCATGTGAGACACTTGCATCCTATGAAATAAGGTCTAGATGATCTTCCTCCAGCACACGTGGTTCTTGGTCCTTTAAACGTAATCGATTTTTGTAAGGTCTCAGATCAACTAAACTGCAATATGACCTTTTGAATTCAAAAGTCATATCTATTCATTTGAAGATATTTCTTGTAACTGAATATATAGAATTGGGGATTAGACAGGATAAAAAGAAGTAGATAAATAGCATAGATAAAAATAAAGGAATACTTTATTGATCCCCACAAGAAAATACAGGTGCAGGATTGCTGCAAGATGCAATGCAATGTGCACAAAAACACCCCAATGAAGAGACATAGCACTGTCGAGATATTACATACATAGTCTGCACATATATTGCAAAATATTCTGTATAAAGAAACCAATTTCAAAGCCTGATGGTGGTGGAGGAGACACCACTCATTCAAGTCTACAGGAAGGTTGACATGAGCAAAAAGTAAAAAAGGTAAACAGATAAATACTGTGGCTGTATTCTATCTGGCTCACACTAGCTCTAGTTGCAGATGCGTAAATGAAACTTTTTAGATTTCTTTCTTTCTTTACACCAGTTCACTGAATGGGTGTCAGATGTAAAAAGGCCCTCAGGCAACATGGATAGCTTCATGTGGTAGTTAACACTGTTTAGTCTCAGAAAGCAAAGAGCTCCTATGGGAACTGCAGCCAGCCCAGCACATCTGACAGTCTGATTGTTACTTAATGGTTTATATATAATTAAACATTTTGAACTACTGAACTGTTTCTATGTGCGTGGTGATAAGAGACAAACTCACTTTCAATGCTCTGACATAACAACTGCATGAATATTTTATCAAAACTTAAAATGCAAACTTAAAATCCAAACAAAAAAAGTTGGATACGGCTTCAATATAATTTGGATATCCACATAGCGTAGTTGTAATCTATCTGTTAATTTATTTTCTGTTTCTTCATCTGAACAGATTTGGAGAAATTTAGCATTTTACGTCACTTGCTCACCAATGGATCCTCAGCAGTGAATGGGTGCCATCAGAATGAGAGTCCAAACAGCTGAAAAAACCATCATAATAATCCACAAGAAATCCACACCACTCCAGTCTATCAATTAAAGTCTAGTGAAGTGAAAACCTGCGCATTTGTAATAAACAAATCCATCATTAAGGCTTTTAAACTACCAATTCATAATCGATAATAAAACTTCCTCCAGTGAAAATGTCCATTTCCCTTTGTCTTCTCACATCTAACTCCACAAACATATTTGTTTAGAACTGTTTTAAAAAATGTCTTTATGGATTTATTACAAATATGTTTATTACACAACATTAATTGATGGACTGGAGTCATGTGGATTTTTGTGATGTTTTTAACAGCAAACTTAATTTTTTTAAGCAAATTTTCATTTTTGGGTGAACTAGCCTACTCCTTTAATGATAGACTTTAGTTTCCATTAAATATTTTGTCTGCGTCATTCCATAAGAATATCCAATGTACATTTGTTTAAATTTTGGCTAATTCCCAATCAATCAAATAATCAATGGTTGGATAAAAGAAGCATAATAATCTTTCAGTAGGTTTCATAACAAGGCTGTCTTGCTTAGATTTGCAGGCCTGTGTTGGAGTTCTAAACCATTTTGCCTTCTATAACCACAGGGCTTTCCTCCTCTCCGGCAACAGCTTCCTGCTTGTGCAGGATGTATATAAAATCACCATAAACCGCCTACCCACACTGCACACATCTGAAATCTGTCAATCAAAGCAGATAAACAGGTTATGAGGTTTGATATAACAGAGAATGCTGTTTTGTACATCCACCCTGAGCTTGTATTATTTATCTTCTTTGTAAAACCAGGCGGAGGCCCAGGCTACACTGTTTGTAGTCCACAGGTGGCCACATGTTCGGTGGAAATGCCACTGTGTGATGCTCAGTTCATGTTTTTATGAGCCAACATGAATCAAAAGGCAAAAAAATGAAAAAACTTCAATTCTGTTATGTGCTGCCGCAAAACAGGTTTAAAATATTATGTTTGTAAAGTCTTTAAACACTGCATACTGCAGTTACCACAAAACTAAAGTTATGAAAAAAAAAAAAACTTACCTGTGTGGAGAATAAAAAAGTAAAGAAACCACACCCTCTTTTAAATCACTGAGAAATCTTCTCTCTTTCTCACTCTTTCTACTCTTTTTGCCTTCCATTCCTTTTTGACTTGTCTTGCCAAATGGTGATTTCCGCAGTCTGGCTCAATGCCACTCTCGACAATGTGTGTCCAGGTCCTGATGAGAGTTTTAATTATTTAATGTGCACAGTGGGGCTTAGATGATGCCATCTGCTGCCTGCAGGAAGTGGGGAGGGGGCCGAAGGAAGAGGGTGTTAGGAGACTCAGCAGAGATGAGCTTTCATGACCACAGCATCTGTTGATTTGCTTGTCTGGAATTGCACTTTATTACCATCGAATAGTACTTTGTCAGTTTTCTCTATTTAAATATGTATAAATATCACTACAGTTTTATGAAACCTTAAAAGCGTTAAGATGTCCCTCAGAGGTTGTGAAAAGGATTGTTAACTTTGAGCGAAGACCGCATCTCTGCGGCATGTCACCTATCCCTATCGGCCGGTCACTAAAACGCATTTCAGCACATTTACAGTTGATAATTGTGCTGTCGGAGCCCTTTGAATTAGCCTTAAAAAAGGCTCGCAGCTCTCAAATAAATATACAGACATGCTGTTATCATACGAGGCAGCTTGTTTTAATAAAAGCCAGTCAGATAAGGGAAAATTCACTAAGAATGAATTGCATCCGCTGTGTCATTTATTTACATGCACAGTCTGCATTGTTCTAGCACCTGATTCACTAAATTATTCAATAAAAATCAATGAAATAAAAAGCTTTATTCCAAGCACCGACTTTCACAAACAACCTGTTTAAAACAAAATACATTTCTTCTCATTTTTTTTTCCCACTATGTACGGGTCACATGATATATATATATATATATATATATATATAGTAATTTATTAATAAATAGTAATTTATTCCCTTACTATATATATATATATATATAGTAAGGGAATAAATTAAAACAGTTAGCTATATACCATTATCAGCATATGTTGAAGTAGATTTGTCTCTCGTCGTCCTCAAATATAGGCCCTAGCCCGGCCCGAGATCCTCAGACCCTAGCCCAGCCCTTGTCCGACAGCTCTTCAGAATTCTTGGCCCGAGTCCGACCCGAGCCCGTCTTTTTTTCCCTACTCCCAAAACAGCTTACTACTGTTTCAGCTATTAAAATAGTTCAGTTTTGTATGTAATGATAAAGTGATTATATTTTGTTTAGTTTTTTTATTAAGTTAATTTAGAAAAACGTTTGGAGCATTTTTTGTTCATTAAATGTACGTTTTTGTTTTTCAAAATAACGACCAAGCGGCCAGCGGCAGACAGTAAGTTGATCATAGCCTATGTTTGCTCAATTTAACCTTCTCAAATCATCACGACTTGCCTAAAATAAAATCTATAGATATAAAACAATTGGTAACACTTTATTTTAGGGTCTCTTAACTAGTTGCTTATTAGCATGCATATTACTAGAATATTAGCTATTTATTAGTAGTAATTAAGCACATATTAATGCCTTATTCTACATGACCTTATTCTACATTCCTAATCCTACCAAATACCTAAACTTAACAGCTACCTTACTAACTATTAATAAGCAGCAAATTAGGAATTTATTGAGGAAAAAGTCGTAGTTAATAGTGAATAAGTGTTCCCTATTCTCAAGAAACAGTTCAAGCATATCACAATGTTAGTTTAAATGTTTAACCTATATAAATGTGCGCTGTTAGACGTATATCCAATCGTTTGTGTGGAGAGGAGCTAAAGCGCGCTTTGCAGGACATGGAGGCGCCGGCGCGATCACTTGCATTGGAAACAACTTAAAATATGCAGTCGTGGAGGTAGTAACAAACTACAACTACTCACGTTACTGTAATTAAGTAGTTTTTCGGGTACTTGTACTTTTTTGAGTATATTTTTAAAGCTGTACTTTTACTTGTACTTAAATACAAATTAAGCACAATAATCTATTTTGTTACTTTTAAATCATAGTTCGTTACAGAGTACACCCACAATTTGAATTGATATTCAAACATTTGACGGCACTTCAGTAGCCAATAAAGGTATCCGATCGTAAACGGACCAATAATATAAAGCAGACTTAAAATTGGAATGAATTGTGACGGGGCTGTAAAAAACTTGTTCCTGAGACTTTTCACACAAGATGGAAACTAGATCTTTTCATCATCAAAGTAACAATGTAGCTGTACCCTGCTGAGCTAAAAGCCAAAAGCCAGTGTAGAGACTGAAACAAGGATGAAAGGTGAATTTGGGTACAAAAATGTCTTTGATATCCAAATGATGTTTGCTTACAGATCCATCAAGAGAATCTGTACGGAACTGGACCTGCATAGAAAAATGTACTTCAGAAAGTTGTACTGTATATGAGAGCAAATGTAAATCTCGATGTGCCACTGCTGAAAGAAGTGAGTTTCACGTTCGAAAAACTTCTATAAACTAGTGGTTGAACTATCAGGATTTTGACAATGGTTGATGCCAATATCTAGACTGCATGCTGGTAATATGCATTTATTGAACAATTAATATAATTTATTATATATTAGTGCTGTCAATTGATTAAAAACATTTTTTTCCTGTAAATAATCATGATTAATTACACCTAAAATTAAAATTTGTAAATAAATACATTTTCACATTGAATCTTCAAATTATCGTAGAAGCAGCATTAAGGCAGTATATTTTAAATACTTATTTACTGTGAATTATGAATGAGTATCACAGATAGCAGTACCTATACTGATGTATTTTTATCGATTTCTGTGGATAAAATGAGTAACAACCCTCTACATTGCAAGTAAATCACTCGCATATGCGACTAAATCTTACTCTGGGCGACTAAATAATGTCTAACATTAGGCATTGGTTAATAAATTCTTCGATTTTACACGCCAGTGTGTGTGTGAGAGGCGTACACACTGACTGAGCGCTTGAGAGTTTCGCTCTCCGTCAAGCGATCTGTACTATTATGATGCGCTCAATGGATCATGTCATGTACTCAATGGATGCGCAGTATGTAGCACGCAGTGCACCTGTATTTGACGAACCGTAAACTAGTGTGAAGGTGCACGACTCGCCGTCGCTTTAATGATAGCGCTGTTTCTCACACATGCCAAGAGAGAGAGCGAGAGTCTTGCATACCACGCTGAAACGACACTCTACATGTAAAGCATATTCTTTGTTGTATTTTCCTGTCAAAATAACAGAGTTCATTTAGAATTATTCAGCTTTTAAGAACAAGCAGAAGATATGCCGGTTTCTCGGCAGTGGGCGGAGCTAATGCACGAACAATTCTCGTTGGCTGGCGCTCATCTATTACCGTCCCTGTTTTGATTTCAGCAAATCAGTTCGAGCGAATGCTGACAACATGATTAATATTCATGAACCCAGCAGATAATAGTAGTAGTAGTAGTAGTAGTATCTTTTAATAATAATTACTATTACCTATGACCAACAATATCTTAAACACCACCACCAGTCCTAAGTTCACGTGTGTGTGTGTGTTTGTGTGTGTGGGGGGCGAGTAAACAAAGTAAACAAAAAAATTTACTAGCCAATGGCGATTATATTGCCAAGGTGTGCGTAGAGGGTTGAGTAAATATACCCATTCAGCTTTAGAGTAAAATTTGTGCAATACATTTTAAGCCTAAACGGTTACAGAACATTAAATATTAAATATTATAACTTATAATTTAAGTGGACTTAAAACTCTTCACATATAAACATTATAATGAATGTCACATTTATGAGCCTTTACTATAGTATGTTGTATAGTAATACAGTGACGTTTCTGTCTATGTCAGTATCAGCTCTTTCTGTTTAAATGTTCAGATCCTCAAATGTGAAGTTTATTTTGAACATTAATTTTCACAATAAATAAGAAAATTACTAATAAAAACATTTGGTATCAGTATTTGAATGTAAAGACCGGTCCTCTTGATATAACGTCAGTATATACAAATATTTACACTTGTCTTAATCATTGATACAAGCAGGTTACTTTCAGGACCAACTGCAATAATGGCCAAATATTGGCCTCTCTTTCATAAACACAAAGTTTCATCTATTTATTCTTGCTGTTATTTATGAATGCCTTCTCTTCTAGGAGTAATAATGCTAGCAATGCTATTTTTACCTTAAGACTCGCAATAATGGTTAATGTGTAACATTTCCCTTTCTCTTTTTTTACTCCAGCATATTGGCTCAAAATAGCATAGACAGACAACAATATTACATCCATGAAAAGGCTAATGTGATCCCAGCATTTATACAGTCCTTCACATTTTCACACTGTTTAAACACACTCCCACACTATAATGACAGGTGTGTGCTACTCACAGCAGGGGTAGTTCAACAGGAGTATGTCATCAACTGCAATGTAGCCTTTGCGGTCCACAGTCGCCTCCAGCAATATCTGAAAATACAAAGAGAGGCGAACATGACCTGCAGAAATGTATTTGGGCTTTAAAATCAGAGTGGTTTTAACATTTGCATAAAGTAGTGAAATTACAATGATGGTACAGAGCAGAAAACCATCTTCTTAATTAATATTCTGGTCTTGCTAATGGGGAAAATACACTTAATTCAAGATATAAGTCAAGTCTTGTTCCATTAGTCCAATAAAATCAAACCTTATTATCTTAAACCACTTTGCATATGGTGTGGATGGTAAATAAGAAAATGTTGTTGCAGCGCATTTAAAATGTACAGTGTAAATACATACATTTTTGGTTTAGTGAGTGATGCCTTTTATATTCATCAACACCAAGAGGTAATTATTAAACACCATAATAATAGTTTCAATCAAACTCACAAAAAGTGTTTTAATGGGCTGTCTGCTCTAGATTTTAACTAGTGTCTGACATTTTTATTGTGCTTCATTAAGATTACATTAATGAAATAATGAATTAAAAGAAATAATACGAGAAAACAAGGCAAACAGGGACGATACTGTCAACTACGTTGAAAGCAAGCAAAACACATAATTCATCCTTTTTCTTGAGTTTTCCTTTTGCAAAAAGTTTTGACAGTCATTAAGAGAACAGAAAACGAGAAAAAGGATGTCAAAGCAAGTAAAGAGAATGAGAAAGAGAGAAAATAGATGCCAACTTCACGAAGGGCCCCTGAGGCCTACAGGAAATAATGGCTTCATAAGGAGGCCTTCGTGCACTGTGACACATGGCTCTCATTCGGCATGCTGCACACACATGCTCATAATGTGAGCGTAAGGGGCACGAGTCCCTGGGGACCTGGAGAGAGTCTCCACACTCGCCAAAGGCTATGAGCAAAGGACGGTCGCTCCAGTGTAATGAAATCAAATCAATATTGTGCGAACGACAGTGATGAGATGTTATTACACATTGAGAGCATGGAGGCCATGTTTGCTCTTCACAACAGTGGTCGGCTTGGCTGCCCACGCTTGACGTTATTGCTTTAAAAAAAAGAAAGTCTTTTTGTTTACTGTCAAGTAACCAAGCAAATCACAGTTATGACCGAATGTTGTGTTTTCAATCATAAAAGGGCGGTTCTTCAACTTCAGAAACTCTCTTAAATGTTTTTAACTGTTCACATGATTTATTTCATTTCTAACAGTGGACATGTATCATTGCTGTCATTTTTTCCCCTTAAAGTCATCTCAAACGATGAATTGTACTTGATGGAAACAGCCATTTTTAAAGTTCAGGAATAAATTGGCTGATTGTTTTGTCTTGATGAGGCAAATTTCACAGTTTGTATTCTAAACACAATGAAAAACTACTTTCACACTTTTTGCCAAATGTGACAAAATCACAGCTTAATTGGAAACTATGCATGATAATAGTATTCTGCAAATCTGTGATATTTGGCTTGAAATCACATGTCTGGTATTTCATTTTAAGCTCTTCACTGACCACTGACCACACATTGTCCCTTTGGTAAACAAGTTCACTAACTTAGAAATTACGTTTAGTATTCTCACAATAAATATTACTTTTTTATGTAATTATTTATTTTGATGCATTTTCATATTTCAAGGCTGAAAGATGTGCTCTAGGGTAAAACAATAAAATCAATGCATAAAAGGAAAATGAGAATAAGCAAAAGTAAATGATGAAGAGATGAAAACAGGTTTCAAAGACATTTAAATGGGATATTCATTTAACAAAAAAAAAGGGAAAAAAGTTGTTTTAATAAAAATGTCAAAAGAAAGTAGTCAAAAAATTCAATAAAAACAGTAATATTTTGAAATATTATTACAATTTAAAACAACAATTTTCTATTTTAATACATATTAAAATTAATTTTATTCCTGTGATGACCAAGCTGAATTTTCAGAAGCCATTACTCCAGTTTTTAGTATTGTCAATGTTAAAACCAGCTGTGCTGTGATATATTCAGGATTCTTTAATGAATGGAAACTTCAAAGGAACAGCTTGAAATCTTGAAATAGATTTCATTTGTACCATTATAAATGTCTTTAATGGCACTATTGATCAATGTAATGCATCCTTGCTGAATAAAAGTATTAATTTCTTTTTAAAGGATGAATTGAATTAGTGTACATGCACCTAAAGTGGAAGAAACCCGATTCATCCTTTGCCCAAAAATTACTAGGGAACGTTGCAATCGCTGTAAAGGCATTTGTATGTGTTGCAGCCGTCGCTCATAGTTGACAACAATATCTCTCAGAGCTGTCATGGTACCGGCGTTCGTTCCACATTCAATTTCACCGTCACCTGGTCAGAAGATCATTCCAGTCTGTCAGAAGCCTCTTATTTCATCAAAGAACAGCATGACTTCATCTTCCTAACCCTGCCTTGACCTCCATCGGCGCCGACATACGTGAAGATGGATGTGAAGTCTCTGATTGGGATCTCAAAAACACGACGTGCTTGGCGGGAAAAGACAAGGAAAGCGACTCCAGACAGCAGGATATACAGCCAGTGCTGGCTCAGGGTCGGAAACCCAACTTTAATCTCCTGTTGAAAAGGACTGCCATATAACCACAATAAACTGACACCAGACCTGCAGGATGATGCAAGGGGAGATTACTCAGACATGTGTTTTCGACTTTTCCCCACCATTGCACGGGTGTGCCGCTGCTCACATGCCATCAGCTCTCCGAAACAAAAGACAAAAATCACACATTTCTACGGAGGCACTCTTACACTATTAAACTCCTCTAGCTGTATCACATTTATTCGAATCAGTGGCTAGTTCCCCCCTGGAGAATATATATACTTGGAACAAATGTCTCTGATTTATGATGGACATAAAAAAGAGTGAGGAGGCTTTCTGGGTATGGAAATGCAAGGCTGAGTCGAATCTTATGTTTCTCTGCTAACACAACTGTCTCTATATTTCTTCTACACTCTAAAAAATGCTGGGTTGTTTCAACCCAATGTTGGGTCATATATGGACTAACCCAACTGTTGGGTTAAATTTTGGTTACATTTTTAAATGAGCTTTTTAACCCAACAGTTGGGTTAGTCCATATTTGACCCAACATTGGGTTGAAACAACCCAGCATTTTTTAGAGTGTATAAGCAAGAATTATCACAGCAATAGATTATTGGTTCAAAACAGTAGAGGTATGCGTGTGTATCTTTTTCCAATAGGGCTGTCAAATTAAATAACCGTGATTATTCACATCCAAAATAAAAGTTTGTGATTGCATAACGAGTGTGTACTATAAACACATAGACATATGTATATATTTAAGAAATCACAATTAATCGATTTGACAGCACTCGTTTCCCATTAACAAGGCAGAAAGATACATAAATACAATCAATGTACAGAAATAAACATCACTAGAGATCAATAGATTTTTCTTTTTCATATAACTTTTTTTTTAAATGTTTTGTGTCCAAAAATGTAATTCCTAAAGAATGACCAACAAAACTCTATTATGAAATAATAATAATAATAATAATAGTTGTTGTTGTTATTATTATTAAATGACCAACAATCATTCTGGTTAAAAAGTGTGAAATCTAATTTAAAAATATTATAAATAATTACATTATAATATTTTCATTCCTAATAGCAGAATTACAATACATTGTGCCTGATTTTATCTAACTATATTTTGCAAGTGAAACAAAGTTGAGACTTTTCAAACAATAAATGACACATGACTGTCTGAACCAACTCCCAATTCCGATTATGATGATCTCATTTCATAAATGATAAAAGCTACGTTAGATTGCTTATATTAATTCTAAAATCCACATTCTAAGCTTAAAAAGCAGAAAACATATTTTGAGCCAAGCCAAGTCAAATCAGCTAGATGCACCAGTTAAAAAAAGGTCAAAATACACAAAGTAAAATATGTCTGGTTGACGAGAAGAGGAATGAGAGGAGCTCAGTCAGAGAGAGAGAGAGAGAGAAGGAAGATGTGAAGGACTGCAATCAAGGAGGACAGACACAAACAAACCAGGCTCTCTAACAAGGACACGCTCCCCTCAGAATTATTCAATCCTGACCAACGGGTTGAGGTTTGGCTGATTAGTTTGGTCCAATTAGCTTTTGCTGGTAGATGTTGTAACTACAACATCTGGATCCAAAATAATCTTTCTCTCAAGGCCATTCAAAAACATCTGTGTTCGGCTCTAGAACTAAGTCATCATGAGGAAAGGCAAAATACTAACACATCACTTTTTCCAGGCATTACAGACTCCATGGTTCGGTGACAAAAGACGGTTCAACATACAAAAACAAGACCAGATCAAAATAATAAGATTCGAAAGCACAAAATGAAATGCATTCTATTCTGACTGCTCAAGCAATTAATTCATCCTGGTGGAATGCCTTTTATTCATCTACGTTATTATTATTAATGGGTCTAACCTAATGTCTTCTTATGTCTTACATTTCTTTCTTCTACCCACCATCAATTTTATTATTTACACTCTCGTGCCTTGTCTTAAGAATGTGTCAGGTTCAATTACTCTTTCGTAGCTTCAGCTTTGTTGTGCAACGTGGCGGAGAGAGAACTACACAGACGTAGATTTGTTGATGTGATGTGAATTTAATTGGAAGCCCGTGAGAGACAGAAGTGAGCGAGAGAGAGAACGATATACCGAGGGAAAGGTACGGACGGGCTGAAGCTAGATTCTTTTTGGCAGTCCTGGCAGGCCAGATAACATCTTTAATATTTGATAACAAGTTCCCACTATCTATTACACCTTCACCAATAACAGCAGAAATATATGAGCGAGCATGGCAGATGGGGGAGATTTCAACTCGAGTATTTCAAACTCAAGGTGATTCCTCCCTGTTTCTATTCTCCGATCGCTCCCAATCTCTCTCTATTCAATTTTCCTTCATTCCATCCCCTTTCTCTCTATTGATGTTCAGACACGGCAGACAGGAGGAAATATGGTATCTCGTGTCACATAAACATAGGGGCCCATCACGTCATGAGAGACA